TTATATTTATAATTTATATTTATAATTATAATTATATTTATATTTATGATTTATATTTATATTTATGATTTATATTTATATTTATAATTATATTTATATTTATATTTATATTTATATTTATGTTTATAATTTATATTTATATTTATATTTATATTTATATTCACATCTATATGTCCCATACGTTAACAAATATAAGTCGCTGTTCTTGTTACTCGGCCTTCTATTTTTAATTCGCTTCGCGAGTAAATGTAAATCGGTGAAAAGCAAAGCTTCGTCGTTGAAAGAAACGTGAGAGGGAGTCGCGTGTGACACGAACACGGGTAGAAACGGAATCGAACGGGGACACACGGCACCAAGTTGCTCGCGAACAATGCACATCCGATTTCCGGCGCGAGGGGCCATTCAACGCGAGGAATTCGGTAGGCGTTAAACTGTACGGTTAGTTGATCGACCGATTAACGCTCCAGACGATAGTTTCACGGGCAGCCGCGTAATGAATTATCGCAACTTGATCGTACCGATCGATCGGTTCGCGGATCGGTTCCGGCACTTTCCCATCGAAGTTTCATCCAGCGTCCCCACCAGCGTCGGTGTATCTTCGTTTTAATTGCGAGAACCCGAGCGACTCGTGCTCGCCGTGTAATTATTTTAATTCCCAGCCGCGAGATGCGGAAACCGGCGACAGGACGCGATCGAACAGGACGGAGAGTAATTACTGCCGTGGATAATTGAAAAATCGACCGTGTGGTTTTCTTTTTTTTTTTTTTAAATTGTTGAAACTCGTTCTTTAAAGCTCGTTGTTGTATTTGATTCGAAGGGTTAATGCCCAATCGTTTCGCCTCGGGTCGTTCGCCAATCGATTTATGATTAATTAAACTTCGTCTTTCGATAACGTCGTTTTTATTCTTTTTTTACAATTTCTACGATCACTATGCCTTCCGCCTAGATTCTGTGAAATCTTCAGAAGCGTCGGAGCATCGTATTTGTAATGTTACTCGAGTTTGTTTCTCGTTTATAATCGTTGTTCTAAAAATGTCAAAATACGATAGTGCATCGTTTATTTCGTGTACACGATCGTTATCAATTGTCTAATCAATATATTGTTCTCGTAATATTATTTTTTTACCATTTTCTTTAATATCTAGTTCTCTTTTAATATTTACGATCTTCGATATTTAAATAATATTATATTTACGTAGTATTTATATTTATATTTATATTTATATTTATATTTACATTTATATTTATATTTATATTTATATTTATATTTATATCTATATTTATATTTATATTCATATTTATATTTATATTTATATTTACGTAACGATATTATTATAATATTTACGCAATATTAACGATCTTCTTTAATATCTAGCTCTTAATTATAATACATATTGTGATAAGTATTCGTTATTTAATAATATTTGATTGTATTCAAAGACCGAAGGTGCGATTGTAATACATTTGTTTGAAAAAGAAGAAAAAAAATATCAATGACCGATTTCGACGAATTGTGTCAGCGAAACGATCGCCACGGATCGAATTAATTAATTAGTTAACTAATTACTTGACACAATGCGTCGAATTGTCTGAATTATAGGCTCACTCGTCAATATTTTCCAGTGTTCGTATAATTAACGCTGGCAATCGTACGTTTGTAAATGATTGATTGATACGTCGAGCTCCTTAATTAGACCTTCAATTACGGAAGCATATTATTTCGACAATTAATCTTCCAATTTGTGCGTGTATCTTACAAGCACGAGTGAATCAGTAACGATGAAAAATTATCGATAATATAAACTGTTATAACATTGTGAAAAGAAAATCGTGCAACGAGAACCATTGGAACGAGAAACTGAAATTGTCAATACATCAACAACTAAGTTTTGTGGAAGATATTCAACATCGAAATATTATTATAAGAACTATAAATACTATAACTACCATAACTGTAAAAACTATAAATACTGTAACTATAAAAACTATAACTATTGTAACTATAAAAACTATAAATACTATAACTATTGTAACTATAAAAACTATAAATACTATAAATACTATAACTATAAAAACTATAAATACTATAACTACTATAACTATAAAAACTACAAATACTATAACTAAAAGAACTATAAATACTGTAACTAAAAACGATAACTACTATGACTACTATAACTATAAAAAACTATAAATACTATAACTACTATAACTATAAAAATTATAAATACTATAAATACTGTAACTATACCTACTATAACTATAAAAATTATAAATACTTTAACTACTATAACTATAAAAATTATAAATAATATAACTACTATAACTATAAAAATTATAAATATTATAACTACTATAACTGTAAAAATTATAAATACTATAACATCAAAATACAAAACACTATACTAATATATAAATACTATATTAACAACTATATTTGATACTTTGATATTATAACAGATATTTCGATGTTAGAACGACACTGTTGAAATTTCAAAAAAAAGAAAAAATAAATGAAAACGCCTGTTTATCACGGTAAATTGACCACTTGTTACGTGATCTCTCGACAATCTTCATTCAAGGACGTGTACAACGTTCGAGGATAAAAGAGTTGTGAATAATTTTCACGCAATTTCATTAACGTTGGCCAAACCCATTTAATTTAATCACATTGTCCAGCAAGATCTCTCGGGTTTTTTGCGAGCTGTCGCCGGGGGTTGAATATCGCCCGGTTAAAGGGCCCTCAGATTTAATGTTATTAAATTTTTAATTAATTTTCCCGTTGCTGCTTCCCCCCGCCCCTTTCTCTTTAAAGGCTCGTTCAAACCCGCTTTATCATTTAATTTTCATTCGTTCGAATTTTCGTTAAAAATCGATCAACAGGGAATTATATTAATCACTTGCGCTGGCAGCTGACTGCGGACCATAACGAGTGACCCGAACTCGTATACAATAATTCGTCGCTTTCTTTTTCAACTTGTCGATATCATACGATGTCACTGGATAGAAATGATCGAGAAGTAATAAATCTATCACGCTTTGCCTGAGTTACACTTAAAACTGAGAAAATATTACAATTTTGGAGGTTAACCACTTGCGCTGGCAGCTGACTGCGGACCATAACGAGTGACCCGAACTCGTATACAATAATTTGTCTCTCTCTTTTTCAACTCGTCGATATCATACGATGTCGCCGGATAGAAATGATCGAGAAATAATAAATCTATCACGCTTTGTCTGGGTTACAATTAAATATACTTAAAACTGAGAAAATATTACAATTTTGGAGGTTAACCACTTGCGCTGGCAGCTGACTGCGGACCATAACGAGTGACCCGAACTTGTATACAATAATTCGTCGCTTTCTTTTTCAACTTGTCGATATCATACGATGTCACTGGATAGAAATGATCGAGAAGTAATAAATCTATCACGCTTTGTCTGGGTTATACTTAAATATACTTAAAACTGGAAATACTGCGATTTTGGGATAAAAGATTTTCGATTCCGGCGCAAGAGGTTGACAGAAAAAAACGATTTCTAGTAATCGGTAAGAAAGCGAGTGGCAACTGTAGGAAATAATTATAGTAACATGTATTGTACGCTATAGTAACTGCCGAATTGCCTGACAGAGGCAGCGTCGTTACCAATAAAATGATCGGCCTACGCATTTGCAGAAGGCGCGCGAAATTTCGTTACACGAAACGCGTGGCTCTCCTGTCACGATGCCCGACAACGTATAAATTTAAGGGTTGCAAATGAGCACCGACACCGGCATAGTCTTGCCTCGTTCGACAAAAACACCTGCCCTTCCCTGCGAGTTCCCTTTTTTGAGAGCTTTCGAAAATTTTGGAGCATCTCCTGGAGGACTGTGCGGTTTTTATTGTAAATTTAAGTTAAATTCTATAACATTGCTATGTCAAATTTAAATCAAACTCTATGTCGTCTAATTTATAAATCAGTGTGAATGACGCATTAAAATGACAAATTGAATCACTGTGAGAAGGTTAAACGTTAAATTGAAAGGAATTTGAGAATTTTCGAATGTTTCTACATTTTGTAAAACATAATAGAAAATTGTGTTGTCTTTCTTCGAGTTCAAAAATAATTTCTTCTCCAACGACAAACGATTATAATTTATAGCGTGCATAAATTTACCAGAAAAATTAATACTTGCAAATTCACTGTATGATTTATAGAGATATACACTTCGTTTCTCAAGGAACAAACACAATTCACTTGAATATCAAAGTCGTGGAGCTTACAAAGAATAGAATTGATCATTTCCGGAAGTTGACTACTGATAATTCTTATGTTTCAAAAATTATGGATATCCTTCACCTCTTGCTCCATGATTTTCTCTTCAAACTTTTTAAATAAACATTAGTAAATGAACATTGTAATGTCACATTAAATATAAAGTATGTGACTTATACTTTCTAATCGTCAAAAAAATTCTAATTCGAATTGCTCCGTAATTGTTTCTTTTCCTTTTTCTTTCCTTCAAACAGAGACTGTAATTGGTACCAAAAAGTTATCGACTTACGAATTTTTAATTCCTTGCCTTTCGATTCTCTCTCCAAATTTCTCAACACAAACGTTAATCATTATATCTGTAACTAGGTGTCAAGTATGAACATCGAAACGTTGATCATCAAATCAGAGCATTTAAATGTAAAACTCCAATTCCAAAAAAAAACGTGGCTTCTTCAGATCGATATCACAATTCACACGAATTAACGTTGCGAGCGTGACTCGATTATTCAGTGAACTCAGTGTGATCAGAAATTCTACTGTTATTGTTATTCAAATAATATTATTCTACTATTATTATTCAGCGCAAACTCCCGCTGGAACCATTGAATAAATGTACATGTGAAACGACACAGCGTACGAAGAATCGGCAAGAGGCGAGAGGCACGTGGCCGGCGTTGAACGAGCGAAACCGAATAAAATTCAGGCAACAGACGAGTTGGAAAGACGGAATAAATCGCACTCACCCACGTGGAAAGCGATGAGGTGTCGTAATTCAGGATCGACTCCGAGCCTCGAACGCCTTGATACGTCCTGGTAGCCGAGCTTTTGAAGAAATTGGTCCTGTATCTCGAGCGGTTTCTCGTGAGTAGCCAATCTCCTTCCCGGCTCGCCTCCGTGCTGAAAAACCAGCGTAATCCTTTAATGGATCTTATTATCGGCTTGGTATCGGCCGGCGTTCGATGATCTTGCTTACGTAAAAAGGGAACGTAATCTCGTTCCGCGAAAGGCCGTAGCCGATCTCTGAACGACGAAAGCTGTTCGCAGCTCTTTGTGAAACGAAGAAATCGAAAGTGGATGAAAGATTTCCTTTTTTTTTTTTTTTTTTTTCATGCGGAAGTTCTATGCGAATAAATTAGGCGGCAAGTCTTTGTGAAACGAAGAAACCGGAAGTGGTTCTTTCTGTGGATAAAATACCTGGAGACTTTAAGAAATAAATTTATTCATAAAATTATTAAATTAAAAATTGCAAAATTATAAATTTGTAAAATTGTAAAATTGTAAAGTTGTAAAATTGTAAAGTTGTAAAATTGTAAAGTTGTAAAATTGTAAAGTTGTAAAGTTGTAAAGTTGTAAAATTGTAAAGTTGTAAAATTGTAAAGTTATAAAATTGTAAAGTTGTAAAATTGTAAAGTTGTAAAATTGTAAAGTTATAAAATTGTAAAATTATAAAATTATAAAAATTATAAAATTATCAAATTTATAAATAAATTTATTCATAAAATTATTATAAAATTATTTATACTACCTTTTTAATATAATACTAAATATTAATATATTAAAATATATATTAAATATATTAAAATATTATACTAAATATACTAAATATTAAATTAATATACTAAATATTAATATATTAAAATATTATACAAAATATTAATATACTAAATATACTAAATATTAAATTAATATACTAAATATTAATATATTAAAATATTATACAAAATATTAAATTAATATATAGTATAATTAATATACTAAATATTAATATATTAAAATATTATACAAAATATTAAATTAATATACTAAATATTAATATATTAAAATATTATACAAAATATTAAATTAATATTAATATTAATATACTAAATATTAAATTAATATTAATATTAATATACTAAATATTAAATTAATATTACACCTTTTTAATATTATATTGAATACCATCTTTCAGAAAAGGACTTCGATTTTTCTACATAAGGAACATTTGAACTTTGTAACACATAGAACTAATCTTCACTCGCTGTACGACGCAAAAATAATTTGAAAGTAAAACGAGGCCGTGCAAAGTGAATTTTCAAGTGTAGAGGTATCAAAACGAGCGCAAAATTCATCGACTTCTTTTTACGACAACTGTAATTTAATTTAATCAGAAAATCATCCAATATTCACGCCGGTTCTAAACATGAAACCTGCACACCGTCACTGTAAAATCAGAAGCTATAACCAGCGATCCGTTTCAAGATCCGAACCACCGTTCACAAGTCCCCGCAAACAATTCGTCGTGTCGGCAAACATCTCGCCTGTGTCGAGGTATATTACCTCGGTATATTTCGAGTTTCGGGGCCCTTGAATTGCCCTGAATTGTCGTTTGGCTCAGCCATCGATCGGCAACGACGTTTCGATCGTCAGCACCGATCGCCGAAATCGTGGATTGTTGCAGGCAATTCCGATCGCGTTCTCCCGCGGCCGCAGGAAGTAGTAAAACGGAAGTCGTAAACAGCGGCCGCGCGGCACCGATGCTGCCCGAGTTCGAATTGGGATTGTTCGGGAGGTTTGGCGTTCGAATTGGATGTTTAATGGGTTTTCGATCGAGACTCCCTCGTGAAAAGGGAGGGGGGGGGGGAGGAGGGGAGGGGAGAGAGGAGTGTTGCGCGTTTCAGAATTTGATAATGTCGGAGCGAGCTGAATGATGAAACGGTCGTTGTTTCTGTTATTTTGACGAAACAGTTTCGTAACGAGGATTTCGTGGCACCGGCGAGGATAGATTTTTCATTCAGCCTCGAAACCACCATGTGTATGTGTGAGTTGTTATCCCACACTTTCGGAGGCGCACGTTGCCAGAGGAGTATCTATAATTTGCGCGTACGTTCAATTTTGATGGCAATATTCGCATTAAATCGTCTAAAGTACGAAGTATTAATGTACAATGAAATAAATATTAAAAATGATCGACTGACATTTGCGAAACGTCAATATCAAATTGACAATTGAAAATTAATATGATGAATTATCGAAAAATGTAGATAAAACATTCGAATATTTATTAATTAATACTTTATACTTTATACTTTATGTTTTATAGTTCACTTACGATTTATAAATACATATCCATTTGTGTATACATTTACAATGTGCATACATTTATAAACATTCGTAGTCAGATTGTCAAATTTGATACTTTTCATTTGGAAAATCATTATGATTCAAACAGTACTCATAACTAAACTGAAGATCGGAATTTTCTTTGAATAAATATTCATATTACGTGCTTGTAAACATTTATGAACATTTCCCCCCTGAATAAATACAATTATTCTACTTTATGTAAAGTCACATTTTCCAAAAGTAGGATCTTGGCAGAAATTTTACAGAAAGCATTGTAATATTTCTCTTTTTTTTAATATTTAGGATATTATTTAGATAATATTCAGAATATTATATAGATAATATTATGGGATATTATTTAGATAATATTTAGGATATTATTTAGATAATATTATAGGATATTATATAGATAATATTATAGGATATTATTTAGATAATATTTAGGATATTATATAGATAATATTTAGACATTTCTTTAAATATCTAATATTTACAGAATCTGTCGTAATATTTAAATATATCTGTCGTATTACGTGCATATAACTTTTTGTTGAAAGTATCCTACGAATGCATAAAAACTCGCATTGATTTTTGCACTAACAAGAGAAACAAAAAAGTAGACGCAGAAAGCCACCGTTATGTACCATATACAATGATTTAAAAAAAAAAAAGCTGCACGCGAAGGGACAGAAAATATCAGAGTCACGTACTTTGGAAAATCTGAAAGTCAACGCACCATCGGAAGAACAATTTCCAATGAGGAAGAGGAACCTTAACGAGCCTCGACAAATTTCCTCGATATTGCCAATTATTCGACGCGATCAACCGATCAACGTCCGCGAAGAACCGAAAGTTTCGCGAAGAAGAAAAAAAAAGAAAACAAAGAAAGAGAAGAAACGAAGGTACTACATCGATTTCACAAAGACTCGTTGAAATCACAGAGGAAGGGAAGAAGGACGAACGATTTCACGTGGCTAAGATTTCATCGTGGTGATCAAACTTCCGGTGAAGTTTGCCTGATTACAGGTAAAAAGCTTGTTTGGCCAAGGCAGAGGACTTTTTCCAAGGGGTGATGGGGAGGGGAAACTTTTCGATTGACGCTGAAAGCACCTCATCGACGATCCAACCGGTTTCTAACGCCCCCTGTCTTAAAGACGGTGTCTGGATCCGGGAACTTTGCAACTCGAGGCCTGCCAGTTTGAACGAACCGCCGAGTCCATGAAAATCCCTCCGGGGGTAATCATGTTAGAATCTTGCCTAGACTGCTTACACTACTTTGCAATTTACAGTTACAGCATGAACTTGTAATGAATATGAATTTCATACGGATTGCAATGAATATGTAAGTCCTATATTTGTAATATATTTGTAATATATAATTTGATATATCAATCAACAAAGTTCTATAATATATTATATTATATTATATATTAAAACTCTATAATATATAATATATTTGTAATACATAATATGACATGTCAATCTACTGTACGTATTGTACAACAAGTTCTATAATATAATATTATATTATATTATATTATATTATATATTAAAATTTTATAATATATATTTGTAATATATAATTTGATATATTAATCTAATGTACGTATTGTACAACAAAGTTCTATAATATATTATATTATATTATATATTAAAATTCTGTAATATATAATATATTTGTAATGTATAATATTACATGTTAATCTACTGTACGTATTGTACAACAAGTTCTATAATATATTATATTATATTATATATTAGAACTCTATAATATATAATATGACATATTAATCTACTGTACGTATTGTACAACAAGTTCTATAATATATATTGTATTATGTTATATATTAAAATTCTATAATATATTATATTATATTATATAAAATCAAAATTTTATAATATACTATATTAATTTTATAATATACTATACAAAATTCCAATTATACAATATATACAGAGTGCCCCTTTTTAATCTATAAATGCAATTATCTTCAAAACTACTCGTTGTTTAATAAATGTTCCAAATGTATCTTTTTTTTTTATTTTGAGAGGGCAGTAATTTGGTAGTAACCTAATTTGTCTCTAGGTAGACGCGTGTATGAGATATGAAGGTCACTATTCTTTTCAAGTATAATTATTGTGATTATTGTAATTTTATATTATTTCTTATATTATATATTGAATATTTTGTATTATTTATAACTGAAGAGAAGAAAGACCGTGGGCTTTACAATATATAACCCATAAATCCAATATTACTTATATATATATATATAATTGGAGTTTTGTTCAGTTGCTGGACTACTTTGGAACAGTTATAGGAATTTTTCTTTGTTACTAGTGAATGATACATAAATAGTTTCCTTTTTTATGGATTGTGATGAATACATGAGTTCTATTCAAGGACTGAATGAGTTCTATTTCTAGACAAGGTTCAAAATTCAATCTAATTTACAATTGGAATTTTGTTCAGTTGCAAGAGAGAAGATTATTTACTCTAATTTAATGTAACTGAGAAGTAAGAAATCATATTTTTATATTTTAACAGGAATCTGGCCAATCTATTACGTATTGTAATGAATACTCTATTTTGAACTCTAGACATTTTTTGCATTACAGAATAGAGTGATGCTCGATAGAGACATGCATGCAAATCTTTTTTCTTGAGAGTTGCATACAGTATTTTAAATGTTTGAACTATTGGCAAGAATCTTGCACTAAATGTTGTAGAATTGGTTCATTCACTTACTAGAGTTCCATTTCACCCTAGTATGTGGATCATCTCACCCAAT